CAGACCCATCTCTTTTTCCAAGTCCTTGGTTTTTCAGCCACACCATTTTGGGGGGTTTTATGCCTCCTCTTGGTCGGCAGCGCTGAGTAATGTGTATGCCTGGCACATCCCTGTTTCCCCAGAACGTGGGGCTGACAGTGGTCACCTACGTCTCTGGCCATGTCTGTCTGTTCGGTGGACCTGTGTAGGTCACAGAAGGCACTGGGTGAGGCACCTCCCCCAGGGGAACATGGCGAGGATGAGGGGGTAACCACAGTCTGCCCACTGAACTGTACGGGCTCCGAGACCTTCTGTACCGAGGTGGCTGTGACCTGCTTGGATTCGTGATCTCGCCCTAGGTCAAGCTCACTCCAGATCTGGAAGACCTCACAGCAGGGAGGCCCATACATATGGTATAAATATCTTGGTCCTCGCTGCAGAGGAAAGAAAATTCATGGAGCAGTAACCGAAACCCAGAAACCCTCATTCTGTTCTGTCTGATGAACCAGTTGTCCGGCGGGAACGAGAAACCCTACGGATGGCTTCCTTTGGCAGACCCCAAGTGGGGGCTCTGTCAAAGAAAGGAGCTAGGGAAGAGTCAGGCCAGAAAGTTCCAGGAGCCCGAGACATCTCTCAAAGACCCCTCCTACCGGGCACCGGCCCCCTGGCTCTCTCTGTAGCAGCCCCTCCTTGCTAGAGAGTGGGGGGTGTTCCCACGGCCTGGGCCGTGCGTCCCTCTCCCTCCTCCTCCCCTGCCAGTGTCCCAGCGTCTGAGCCTTGTGACCCAGACTCTGCTGGGCCAGCCAGCCAGGCAGTAAAAGGAGATTGATGCCCTCTCCTCCTAGGAGAATCCATCACTTTTTGGCATGCGGGTCAAATGGCTTCACCAGAGGCAGCCCAGAGCAGCACTGTGTGAGCTAAAAATAAGCACAAAAAGGGGCCCAAACAGACACGAGGACGTCAGAAATGGGAATGGCTCACTCCAGCCATCCCCAGGGCCTGAGCAGCGCCCTCTCCTCCCACACTCTTCCCGTCCCACCCCTCCTCCCCCGAGCCTCTGGGAAGGTGCACCTTCCTTTTGCCTTGGGTGATAGAGTCCAGGATGAGCAGGGTAAGAGGAGTCGGATAGGGTTGGAAGAAGGGAAGGTGGAGGGGCGACGTTCTGTGGACCGGATGATCTTGGTGGCCATGAAGTAGGGTAGGATGGAAGAAAGGAGTGGACGGAACGTGAGCTGGGGAGCCGTATGAAGGAGGGAGTCCTTCCTTGGCCACTCTCTGGCCTTGTGAACTTTAAGAAGCTGCCCCTGCTTCCATTTTCCCATCCGTGAATGGGGCACAATAGCCCTTGTCTCCGGTGCTTATCATCAGAATTGAATTTGACCAAAGAGTAGCATTGGCCATCGATTAACTTCCCTTTGCCCTACTTCTTCCAACTTAGGTGTGGGGTGGGGGGCAGCTGCTCAGATGGTGTCGTGGAGTCTTGAGTCTTGTTGGCTCATGGGGCTGTCCACACGGAAGTGATTTGCCTTATGCATTTGGCCCAAACCCAGCCTCTCTCTGCGGAAGCCTCCAGGTGTCTTATGGAACTTCTTACCACCATGGCTGGTGGTGGGGAGGGGAGGGAGGGTGTTCTCTCCTGGGGGAGGATTTATGGTGGAATGGAATCTGTTTTTATTTTCCATTCCTCCCGTTGCCCTTTCTAGATCTCCCCTCCACCTTTGTGGACAAAGCTCAGGTATTACTCCCAAAATACTTCTCCCTGAAGACAACTAGAGTGAGCCAGGCCTGTTTTATTCTGAGCCACTGGGTGTTTCCAAGTCTTTGGAAAAGATCTGTTTGCAGATTTGGGGAAGACACTTGGGTCCGTGGGAGGCTTCTGCTTCGTGCTTGCAGTAACGTGCTTACCTTCCCCCCTGCCCCCCCCCCATGACTGTGCAAGGCCCACGGCTGTTAACGCTGCCCCCTCCCGTGGTTGGGGCTCCATAGCTGCTGCCACACTGTCAACTCCTGGGATGTGGAGGGAGAGTTGAGAAACGGTCCCCTCTTTGCCGCCTCCACCTGACTTGCCCGAACCTTTCAGGGCCTGTGATTCTTGCTGCCAAGGGAGGGAGAGGAGGGAGCAGGCTCTGAGACTCGGAAGCTGAACACCAGAGCCCGCTCTCTGTGGAGCTCCCCCCCGTCCTTCCGTCCTTCCGTTTTCATCCTGCTCCCAGCTACTGTGAGTGAGGAGAGCTCGCAGGGCTGGTGAGGTGGCCCAGCCTGGAGCTGGACCAAGGGACCCAGAGATTTATATACTGTTAGCTCTGCCTTTATGGGGGTGTGTCAGGAACACAAGGAGGCAAGAGAGGCATGATCACCATCACATGCATGAGTAGTTGAGGCCCCGAGAGGGACCTTGATGCAGCCCAGGCTGCACAGCTCGGCGGGGAGGAGGGGCCTCTGGTGAGTCCAGGCTTGCAGGCCTTCGGATGGTGAAAAACGGATACAGCATTTGTGGACACACGACTGTCTGTTAAGAGCTGGCCAATTTCTCCCCTTCCCATGCCCTCCTGTTCCAGTGGTTCTCGAAGTGGGGTGCCCGGACCAGCAACGTCAGCATTACTCCGGAACTTACTAGAAAGGCAAATTCTTAGGCCCCGACGTAGACCTAGCAAATGGGAATCTCTGGGAGAAGGACCCAGCCATTTGCTCTAACGAGCCTTCTAGATGATTCTGTGGCAGCTCAGGTTTGAGAACAACACTGCCCTCTTACAGTGCCGAGGGAGGCTGGGGTCTAGGGTGGGGTCTGGGGCCAAAGGGAGCTTGTCCCTAGTGGTTTGGCTACTCTGGCCTGTCCTGATGCTCTGGATTCTAGTCCCGTCTCAGCCGTCAGCTGGGGACTCCTGACTTGTCCCTTGTTTCTCCTGCTTGTAAAATAATGTCCATAATGATGCAACACTTAAGAAGACTTAAGGAATTACAAACCTTCATATGCAATGGCTCGTGTAGTAGGTAAGTAGAACTTGTGTTATCTTCCCACACCCATTTTATAGATAAGGAAACTGAGTCCTAAGATGCTTTGTGAGGTGCCCAAGCCCATACTGTGTGGAGGATCCAGGTCTCGATCCAGGTGCCCCTGACCTCTCATTCCTTACCAGTCCTTGCGATGTTCAGAAGTGCAGACGTGGCCTTATAAAGCTGCCTTCCCAGCCCATTTCCGCTCCGCGGCCACGCCAGGATGCTCACCTTGCAGGACCCTGTGCGTCATCACTAGTCACCCGGGAATGATTATGCCATGATGAGCAGATGGCCTCCCCTGAGACAAGTCCTGACCTCCCATTTTGTCTCAGTGGGAGACTCTTTAGCCTTCCCCTTCAAGGCCCACAAATACCATTCCTCAGAGGCTAAGAAATAGCAACAGAGGGTGTAAAGAAGGGAACCAATTTTTAATTCCCTTGTTGCGAAGACTGGGGCAAAGCCCTGCAGAGCACGGCAGCCACCTGGCAGTCACGTGGCCCGTGAGGAGCGGCCACCAGCCGTTGGGAGCCTGCAGCTCTGTCTTGCGGGGGAGGAGAGAAAAATGCTCTGTAAATGCTTCCTCCCACAGATCCGCGGGTCATCTGGGACACCGTGGGGAGACCAAGAATTCTGATAGGAAAAAACAAAACAAAAACAAAAACAAAGAGGTTTGTATAGTCTATTCTGAAAGGAATTCCCAAGCCAACCAAAACACTAAGCAAAGCCTTGCAGCCACCCTCGTCTGTTCCTGTCACATGTGTCCTCGCTCATGGGGACAGTCTGCCATAGTCCTCTGTCTTCGGTTTTCAGTTTGTGACAAGGTCATTTGAGACAATCCTCTTTCCTGGCTCTGCAATGCTCTTTGTAGTGTTAATACAGATGTTTAGTGGGCTTCTGCCTGTTGCAGACTTAAGGGGAAGGTCAGTGAGCAAACTCTGGCTTGTGCCTTACATCACTAGCCCCCTGCTCGTTCTATTCCTTCGTAGCATTCTTTCCAAGTAGATGGGACGGCTGAGGTGATATCTCTGCTTTCTCCTGGCAGATGGACTTAGCCTGCTGAATTAGTGGAGGGGGTCGCGGCTGTTCTCTGCCTGGACCGTGGTTCTGGGACAGTCTCTGGACTTGGCTTTCATGATCTCATTGGTCTTCCAGAGGAGAGGGATTTGTCAAGTAAAGGCTTCCCCCAGATAATTTTAGCTGCCACAGAGTCATCTCTATCACAAACCAGGCACCGTGCTAGGATTGTCACAGCCATTCTTGTATAACAAGAATCGTGTGTGTGCGTGTGTGTGCATGCACACACACACACACACACACACACACACACACACACACTGTCCCAGGTGCCAGGCCAAACTCTTCAAATGGATTATCTCATATCTTTACAAGACTTCAACAAGAAAGGTATTGGTGTTAATCCCATTTTATAGATGAGGACATCGAGGCACTGGGATGAAATAACTTCCCCAAGCCCAAAAAACGAGCAAGGAGGTGGAGTCAGGATTCAAACCTGATTTTGAACACCCCAGAGACCTCACGATTCCAAGTGCGGTCACAGCACACAGGTTACCTGAGGGTTTGTTAGAAGTGCAGATTCTCAGAGCTACTGACTGAATCAGAATGTGCACTATGCCCAGGGGAGTCCTGTGACATGAGAGTAGCTGTTGAGACTGATCTATATGTGTGTATATCACACACACACACACACACACACACACACACACACACACACACTAACTAGCTAGTTAGTTAAAGCACAGAATCCTGTGCTTTAGCTACTGTTGATTCTGTTTTCCAGCTGAGGCAGCTGTTAGACAGGTTTGGGGTGGGTCAGGGACAGAAGTGAGATTTGATTCTGCGTCAGACTGAAACCACAACATGATGCCCGTTGCCATGCCCGAGTTGGGGTTCCTGGCCACGTCTGCCTCTCCCTGGCTGTGGACCCAGAAGTAGAACCCCCTGCTGTCATGAGGACAGGTGCCTAGGACTGATCAGCTGCTCTCCCCTCTGTCCCCCTCCTACAGACGTGCAGCACATTAAGAGGAGGGACATCGTGTTGAAGCGGGAACTGGGCGAGGGAGCCTTTGGCAAGGTCTTCCTGGCCGAATGCTACAACCTCAGCCCGACCAAGGACAAGATGCTCGTGGCCGTGAAGGTAAATCCCAGAGGTCTGCGGGCCCCAGGAAGGAGGAGGGGGTGCTGGGGGCCGGGGAGCAGGCGGGAGAGGCTCGCTCCATTCCTGGTGTGAAGGGGCATTCTTCATCCATTGTAATCAGGGGCCCTTGCTCTAAGGGCAGCGAGATTTCCGTTGGATCCACACCGACTTCCTCTGACTTTGGAAGTCAAGAACTACGGCACCTAAGGGGGCTGTGCCTGAGGTGCAGCTGGAGGAGTACGTTAGCCTGTGAAAGGGCCTGGGTCCCCATCCTTGTCCCCAGCTGGCCCTCCCCCCTCCTCAGTGACCTCAACAGGATGTGTCGTCCGTGCCTGGAGAGTCACTTGACGTTTCTCAGGAATAGAATTGAGTGAAGGGTGGGCAGCTGAAGGAGAATCTGGGAGCCCCCGGTCAAGGGCAGCAGACGTCACTGGGAATAGAAGGAGAAGAGTGGGGAAGGACCAGCTACTAACTAAGCACAGGGAGACTAGTGAGTGAACCCGGAAAAATTTCTTATACCCCCACGCATGTGATCCGGGTTCAGACCCCCGAGGGTAACTGCCTCCTGGCAGGTACTTAGATGGACCCAGGAACCACAGGACTTTTGTCTTGCTGAGCCAGCAGTGCAGGAGCTGAATTGTGTGGGGTGGTAGAGAAGAGACTTACCACCAGTTCCCCACCCCTGCACTCAGCCTGCAGAGAACAGCTTCTCCTATAAATCAGTGCTAAACAAATCTTTGAACATGATTTGTACGGACAAGGGCCAAGTAGGTGTCAGGAGCCCTGCTCTGGAGCGTGGACTGACCTCCATGGGTGCCACAGGAAGGCCTCTGAGAGGAGGGTGAATTCTGCCTGGTGTCCTGGGCTGAGAGCAAGAGATACCGCCCCCCCATGAGGACTCTCACTGGGACCTCAAAAGGGTCCCGCCCTTAGCACTGAGGGCTCCAACCAAACCACTCACAATGACAGTTCCATGCTTCTGTGACTTTGGGGTCTGTATATTCACAGTCTTGTGTGTCTGCATATTGCCTGTCCATGGAGGGCAGATGGCCTCCACAGATGCTCTGCAGCCCCCAGGGATAGCGGGGGAGTCAGAGAGCCTGAGGGAGACCCCACCCTGCCACTGATTAGCTGTGCAACCTCACACAAGACACTTAACATCTCCAGCCCTCAGTTTCTTTATCTGTACAATGGGAAATACAATATCCTTCCTTAAAAGCATTGGTGATGAAATCACACAACATGTAAAATTGTTCATCCATTGTTTGGGACATAGTAAATGCTCAATAAAGAGTACTTGCTACTGGTTTTTATTATCACCATCATTCTCAATGTTGGTCTTATTGAATGTGCTTAGACACATGACATATGGCCTTCCAAGCTTACACTGACCAGCTAGAATAGGGGGTCTGAACCTTTTCTCTAAAAGGGCCAGATAATAAATATCTTAGGCTTTGAAGGCCATATGCTACCTGTTACAACTGCTCCCTCTCTCTCTCTCTCTCTCCACACACACACACACACACACACATACATCTATTAGAAAAAATATATGTATATTTTACAAAAGTAGGCATTGTCTGCTGACCAAGGATCTGGAAAATAAATAAGGAACTAGAGTATATTTTCTGTGAAGGCTAATCATTATTATTGCTAGACTGCCTGAGAATAAACTTGTTCAGTGTACCTCCATAGACGCAGGATGGTCAGATAAGCAAGAAAGTCTTTAAACAGCTTGGACCAGGGGAGTGGAAAGATTTCTAATTTTGTCTCCAAACAAGGATTCTGCACTGCTCTGAAACTTTTAATTTATCGGGAGACACTAATCCACTGGGCATTCCAATATCCGTCTGGGGACTGGTAAATGAAATGGACATTTTTGTGCTTTGAACAGGAAATGAAATGATGGCCCCAAACCTTGGGAAATGTTCCTCACTGAGTGGTCAGGCGTTAAAGGACAGTACCCGGATTGGATAATGCAGAAAATGTGTTTCTGTGTTCATCTTTTTAAGATGGTTTTCTTCTCTCCTTGGGTCTGGGAATGTGGAGGAGACCAGTGCCCCAGGATTTTACAACATTTGCAGCCCAGGGGATCCACCCAGACTCCAGCCCCTGGAGAAGACACTCATTTACTCTAGAGAACGGTCGAGAAATGGTGTTTCCTGTTTCTCATCCTCTTTAGATTTTACTGCTTTGTGCAGACTCCTTCCTCTTGAGGCTGTTCTCATATTGGTCAGGGTAATTGTGGACTTTCAGAGAACACATCTGAGTATAACCCAAGGTTAGGTTTTCCCCAAATTGTGGTTTTAAATCAGTTGGCAAGAATCTTTTGCCCGGTGGTTGCAATAGGGGAGACGAAGCAGACATCACAGCCTCTGTTCTGAACATGCTTGTAGTCTGCTGGGGAGACAAAAGAAGACCCGAGAAAGAAGGAGAGCAGGGCAAGACAGAGAGTAATTTGTGCATAAGGGTAGTGTAAGACTGATAATATGTGGTTTATATTTTTAAATAGGTGGTGCCACTTTTAAATAGTCACTTGACAGAGAATACATTTGTTCAAAAGATCTCAAAGAGTCTCTTCTGATAGCCAATAGCTGATAAGAACATGAGAAAGGTGTCCAACCTAATTAATCATCAGAAAAATGCAAGTTGGCCATATTGAGATACCAGTGAACACCAAGCAGAATGACAACATAGTGGTGACGATACCAAGTGCTAGTGGGAAGGCGCAGCAGTATGATCATTTTGAAAAAGTTTGGTATTCTAGAACATTAGCATACTGTGTGACCTAGCACTTCTACTTCTAGACCTGTACCCATTATCTATCTATCTATCTATCTATCTATCTATCTATCTACCTATCATCTATCATCTATGTATCCATCCATCCACCTATTTATCTATTTATCTATCCATCTATCTATCTATCTATCTATCATCTATCCATTCATCTGCTATCTTTCTATCTATCCATCTATCTATCTTTCTGTCTGTCTATCCGTCTATCATCTATCTACCATTATCCTCTCTCATCTTTCTATCATCTATCATCTAACCTATCAATCATCTATCTATCCATCCATCCATCCACCTATTTGTCTGTCTATCTATCTATCTATCTATCTATCTATCTATGTATCATCTAGCTAGCTATGTATCATCTAGATATATAGATATATATCTATATATCTATATCTATATATCTATATATAGATATAGATATCTATATATTTCTCTCTCTATATATAGATATATATATATATCTATATATCTATATATCTATATCTATATATCTATATATAGATATAGATATCTATATATCTCTATATATATATAATTCCACTTATTTCAAGTTTAAAAAACAAGTAAAACTGAACTCTAGTGGTAAGGGATTTATATTTAGATAGTCGCAAGTATTTTACAAAAGCCAAGACCGTGGACTGCATAAGTCAGTGTAGTGGTCACCTTTGGGGTGAGAGAAGGAATACTGGAGGGGCGGGGCATGCAGTGGGAGCCCTTCTGGGGGTGTTGGCAATATTTAATTTTTTCCTTACATCGAGGAAACACTGGTATTAGTTTTGTAATAACTCAGTGTGCTATAAAAGACTTTTCTTTCAAAGATTGATCGTATTCCTAAAAATATGCCCCATTTATTCATGCCATAAATATTTATTGAACACTTACTATGTGCCTGGCACTGAATGAGACCCTGGGGATGAAAGAGGAGAGGGGACGCACAGGCCTCTGTAGCTCACATCTCTGAATTCTAGCACAGTGGAGCCTGGAAGGGAAGTTTCCGGAAGAAGAGGAGGGCATGTGCGGAATGATGACAGCAGCATCTCACAGAGAATGCTGATTATGGTGCTCACGATATGCTGGGCCCTGCTCTTAGTAATGTGTGCGGGTGAAGGTTTGTTCTCACGGCCTCCAGAAGCATTAGGCATCGCCGCTATCCCCATTTCACAGAAGTGGACACTGAGGCACACAGAGAGAGGTCAAGCAGTTCGCCCAAGGACCCGCAGTGAATCAATGGTGGGGCCACCTCAGATCCAGGCAGGCCTTCTCCTTCCCAGATGAGGGGATGAGCCCCTCGTCACTGCTTTTCCTGGTTCCCCATGTCTCTCCATGCTCTGTCCTGGGGGAGTCTCCCCATTGCTCCAAGTCATGAATTCTTGTGGTTTAATCTAGTGCAGTGCTTGTCCTGTCTGTGGAGGCTTTTGTTTTAACTTCAATGAACCACATAATCGACTTCCGAGATACCTAATTGGTTCACGGTTTTGTTGTTATCTGAATTTTATTTCTCCCTCTTTTGGTGGCATACCTTCTTGGTTTTTTGGGGTTTTTTTGAAATAATTATTTCTTCACTCTCTTTGAGCATTTACTTCTTTTAACATCGCTATCAGCCTATTCCTATGAAATTAATTTTATCTGCAGGAAATTCATGTTGTGGTTATTGACGGTTTTAATCATTTGGATCCAATAATCTGTTTCTTCCAGTTTGTCTGAACGCCAGCTCTTGAGTTCCCTTTAGTTTGGAGAGTTGTTTTGTTTTTGTTTGGGGCAATCATGATTTCCAGTTTCAGTTAGTTTGCACTGGAATAGGCACTGAAAACATTTTTAGTGCAGAATCTCAGATTTTTACTATTTTCCCAATTTCTTAAAAACATAGGTTTTCCTCTTATTCTTAACACTTTCTAAACCTTTCTAAACCTTTCTAGTAGGGTTTCTCTAAAGTCTTCATCTCAGGCTCCATAAAAACAGCCAACACTTTGTACTCATATTTCATTGCTTTCTATGACGTTTCATTACATTAAGCAATGACATTAACAGATGGATCATAAATGATTTTGGGAAACAATCAGAGCTGACCCTTGGCAAGCTCCCCTCTGGGACAGAAGTATCTGTCTGAGTATCCAATTAGCAGTGAGTATTCAGGGCATAATAGATGCCAGTCAGGATGTTCCTCAGAGGGTGATGGACAGTACCAGTGAATTTGGCCAGTCATGTGGATATAACTTGGTGGAGAGTTTTTCTGGCCAAAAGAACAGCATGTGCAAAGGGCCTGAAGCAGGTAAAAGTTTGGTGGGTACAAAGGACAGAAAGACCAATGAGACTGAAGTGTAATGAATAAAGGGGAAGAGGGTATGGGAGGAAATGAGGCAGAGAGAGATGGGGAGACCTGACGTTTGGAGCCTATCAACTGTCTTAAGGGGTTTGGATTTTATCCTGAAAACAGCAGGAAGCCAATGGCCAGTTTTAAGCTAAGAAGACAGAAGAGAGAAGGGCATCCATGTCTGTAATAACTACCCATCTTCCTCTCTCATAAATCGTTTGAGAGTGTCAGCAAGAAGTGGCTGCGGATTTTCAGACTAAGAGAAAGATGATTTTTATACTTAATTATTTTTTTTTTAACGTTTATTTATTTTTGAGACAGAGAGAGACAGAGCATGAACAGGGGAGGGGCAGAGAGAGAGGGAGACACAGAATCTGAAACAGGCTCCAGGCTCTGAGCTGTCAGTGCCGAGCCCGACACAGGGCTAGAACTCACGAACCGCGAGATCATGACCTGAGCTGAAGTCGGACGCCCAACCTACTGAGCCACCCAGGCACCCCATGATTTTTATACTTAAAAAGTGTTAATTGACGTGTGCGTGTTTGAATATTAAAAGTTTGGACATTTAGAAATGCGTGCATCCCCGCACATATTAAATGGGTTTCGGTGTGCGAATGCAATATGAAACCAAACACTTTGAACTATCCCTCCACGCCACCCCCACTCCCCTGCAAGAGAAAAGGAAACTGGAAGGCGGCAGCCCTGAGGCTGGACAAGAGGAGGATGTTAAATGACCTTGACAGAGTCGGGAGCTACTGAGAAGTTCGAGTGTTCTTGCCTTCAGGATGGCTTCCCTTCCATGTGACCAAGGGGCCCCAGTGGGACCCAGGCCTGGGGGGGGGTGGGGAACGTGAGAGATGGCACACTTAGAGAGGAAGATCAGAAAGTGTGTTGTCCTCAAATTTGGGGGGACAAGAAAGGAGACAAGTTAGGGGGCAAATTCCAGATCTCTTTGTTCTACGGATACTGCTCAAAGGACCTAGGTAGGAGCCGCCTCGGCTTCAGAGACCCGTCGGTGAGACCCAACTCCCTGCAATAATGGTTGGCAGCCGTGATGAGCACCAGTTCTGCCCCCGGCGCTCACCGGTGCCACTGACTGGTGATCCACTTTGAGGTTTCCCAGCCCCGAGGAAGGGGTTGGGTGTGTGGATGCCCCTGAACCGTGCAGGAGAGTCTCTGAGCTGGTTTTCCTCCTCGTTAGTCTCCTCCTGTCATTCTCTGTCCCAGATGCATCTATCCCTAGGGGTTGGGGCCATGTGCATCCCTGGACCCCAGATACCAAACCCGACTTTTTGCCAGTTACATAGGAACTTCAGGTTGGACCCAGGAACCGGAAATCCCAGTGTGAAGGCAGAGAGGGAACTGGCAGCAGAGAAAGGCTGTGGCGAGACTAGGAGATGGCGGTTGCTTTGTGCCCCGTCTCCCAAATGAGGAGCCTCTGTCCTCCTGGCAGTGTAGGGTGCCAGGCTTGGGGATGCTGGCTGGCATTGCTTGAGAGCTGAGAACGGAAATATCCCGTGACTGCCATTGGTGTCCAGACGGTGCAAGAGAATGATTTACAGAGATGGAGAGAGGCCATTTGGCTGGCCCCAAATTTGATCTACTTTTCCTTCTCGTAAATCCAGCATTCACATAAATCTTTGTAGTCCTCTATCCCACCCATGCTGGCTTCCTCTTTTTCTCCCCCCTCTTATTCTTCATGAAAATAAATAAATCACCGGCAGTCATCCTCTGCCCATGGCCCAGCCCGTGCAGCTCAGGAGCTGGGTCACCAAGAGGACCCTGTCTCCCCATGACCCTGCCTTCTTCCACCCGTAGCAAGAAGGCTTTGTAAATGCCATTGTTACTGCTGTACGTGGGCACACAGCAGCCTACTCCTTCATTACTGGGTAGCTTCCCCGAGAAGGCAGCCAGAGCAGAAGAGGAGCGCACATGAGATCAGAGGCGGCAAAGTCAGCGATGGGCTGGACCGCCCACCTTCCTTCCGGTCTGGGTCTGCACCACCAGCTCAGCATCCTTGTGGGGCCTGGTCCCTCTGCCATCAGGCCACATTCTCGCCTTTCCTGGCCTTCTCCTCTGCCCTTTCACACTGTTTAACTTCTGTGCCCACTGTTCCCTTGGGGACATACCTAGTGACCGATTCATCTGGTAAGTTAATCCAGCAGGTGCGCTGCACAGGAAAGTATCCTGGGCTCCAGATTCAAGCTATGGCTTCTTGGCACAGTCTTTGGCAAGTCACTTCCCCATTCTAGACCTCAGTTTCCTGACCTGTCACGTGGGAAAGCTACACTGGGTCAATCCCAACATTTCTGTCAATAGTAGAATCGTTTACTCAAACACGTTTTTGGTGAAAGCTCCGAATTTTGAAAAGAATGAAAGGTGGTATTGGTTGAAGTTGGAGTGGATTTGACCTATGGCTGAGAGACCGTGGCTAGAGGCACTGCCACTGAACTCTGGGGGTCGAGAGGGGCTGAGGTCCTGTTTAACTGTACGCCTCTATCATTTCAGACGTGTGAATGTGGACTGACTCCCAGACGGGGCTGGGCCTCAGTTTCTCCCAACGCTAGGAAGGAGCAGGTGGAAGCTGGTGATGTTTAGGGCCCTTCTGGTGCCGAGTCCATCATCAGTAATGTGTGCTAATGACTGATGAGGTCTGATGGGCCCCCTAGATATGAGGCTTGCATCTTCATGTTCCCACAGCGCTGTCAGCCGAGGCAGCCCTGTGGATTTCAGTTAACGGGCATTGCGGTGGCCGGAGAAAGACCCCGCTGGGGCCGCGGGGGAGGGGGTGGGGGGGCTTTTGATGGTACCACGGTCTACGGGGGAGCGCAGTCTGCCTAAATCACCAAAAAGGCCACATGCTTGGCAGAGAGGATGCAAACCCATCTCATGCCAGTCTGGATTTCACTAATCTGAACATAGTGTGCATACTTCACCCTCCCCCCTCATTGCCTCATGTTGTGTCCCGTGAGGTTACTAAACCGTGTTGGCTGAAGGAAGTGGGTGTTGTTTGGCCCCATTTGCCTTCTGAGCTTGTGGGGAAGTTGAGGAAGCCCAAAGAAATGTGTGCGCACACCTGCCCAGGCCGTGTCTCCTGCAGGAAGGGGCCCTCTCCTTCATTGGTCATGCTCCTCTGGCCTAACATGGCTGCATCCCCGTGGCAGTGCCCTGTCCACGATCCCTCGATGTGCTCAGCGTCTTCCACGTCAGTCTCACGGTCCCCTTCTTGTGCTGGAGCCACCACACTCCTACCTGACACCCCTCCTGGCCATTGCTTGCCCATTTATCTTCCTGGGCCCTGGGGCAGGTCTGATGCCTCCCGCTCTTCCTGGGTTCTCCCTCCCCACAGGGGCTACATCGTGGCATTTTAGTGGCCACCGGATGCCCACCTCCCCATCCCGCCCTGAGACTTGGAGGGACTTCACCCCATTCTGGTCCTGAGTGGACCCGGAGGCTGCTTCCTGTTCACTGCCTTCCCCGTAGCTGCAGCCCCACTCACTCTCCAGTGCCCCCTTCACCTTCCTACTAGGAGGACACAGGCGCCTTCTAGAAGCCAACACGTTCATGTTTCTCTGCAAATACGTACTCCTTCACCATCTAAACTCAAGGAGTAGAAAGAACAAGGAGACTTTATTATGTTGTCTGCCTGATTTCTGGTAGGCTCTGGGCAAAGGCTAATTTGTAGAGTTCAAGCAATGGGGCGGTGGTTTTCCCACTGTTTCTTTTAGCTTTGGGACCATTTCTTGAAGGAAGCCTTAGGGGAAGAGACCTTTGTCAGATTTTCCACCTCCACAGCTCCCTCCCTCTGCCATTCACACCAACCTCGGGGGGAGTGTAGGGCTCTGAGATGAACATGAATTGAAATCACTGGCTGGTGGATGGGAGACGGGGTCAGAAAGTTGGCTTCTGTTTCATGAGAGATGACATGATTTGTTGTGAACCCGCAGTCTTTATTATGGGCAGGTTTATTCCCAAGAGGGGAACAGACAGGCCCTGGTCCTCCGGTTGCTGAAAAGCATGTCGTGCATTGTTTCCAGGCCCTGAAGGATCCCACCCTGGCTGCCCGGAAGGATTTCCAGAGGGAGGCTGAGTTGCTCACCAACCTGCAGCACGAGCACATTGTCAAATTCTATGGTGTGTGTGGCGACGGTGACCCGCTCATCATGGTCTTTGAGTACATGAAGCACGGAGACCTCAACAAGTTCCTCAGGTAAGCAAGGACTGCGGTCCCCACCCCTAGTCCCCCCACCCAGCTCCGCTGAACCCCTGTACTTCACCTGGAGTCAGAAGTTACCCCCACTTAAGTCTGGGGATTAGAAATGAGGCGTAGCTGTTCAATCTTCCATACCATCTCCTGAGGAGCAAGCTTCAGACCTTCGTCACTGATTTCTGGTGGGTAACATCGAGGGGGCCGTGACAAGGGAGTATTTTCTTCCTGATCACAAAGTAGACTGGCCACAAGAGAAGGCTCTGGAATGAGTCCGAGGAGGGAGCCCCTACCAGCCTGTAACTCTCAGCTTAGAGACTCTAGAACCGCCCTTTCTCCTGATTCTCTGAATAGCTTTCTCACTTTGTGCCTTACATTTCTCAGTGCTGCAAAGTAGAGCTAATTACACCCCTCCTGGAAAACTTCATGGTGGAGACCTTTTTCGTGATGAATAAGAAGGCCCAAGGTTACAAGCTCATCAGGAGGCCATGATGGTTGAAAAAGAACAGCAGATTTTCCTTGGATAAATTTATAACTGTGCTACCCAGTACCTTGGCTACATATGGATATTTGAATTTAAATTTACACTACTTAAATAGAATTCAAAAATTCATTTCCTTGGTCGCACTAGCCACATTTCAAGTACTCAGTAGTCACATGTGGCCAGTGGCTACCATGTTAGACAGTGTAGTATATGATATTTTTATGAATAAAAAGTTCAGTGGGATAGCACTATTCTAGAAAGATCGGATTTGTGGTAAGAAGGTTTCCCCAAACCTGGATCTACATCATCTGGATTTTGAGGTCCTCTTGAGGGAACTGGTAAGAGAATGGAACCCCAGCCAGGAGTTCTGGATGGGGTTGCAGGGGTTGGAAGTTCTGGTGGGGGGCAGACTCTATCTTCCCTAGGGAGGACAGCTTCTCACCACTAGAGCAGAGTTAACACTCTTCTGCTTCCTACATCTGCCACTTCCAAGTAGTGCCCAGATGTGGAGGGGGCAGCCATGCGTGAGGATCTGTGGAATTTAGGGTCCCAGGAAGCAGGTTTGAACAACCAGGCCCTAGACACTTAGGGTGTGGTCTTAGCCACCTTTGAACTCCATTGACTCCCATGGCCCATAGTGACATTTTCAGAATTCGAATGTAAGTCATAGAACACTGTGGCTACTCACCAAAAACTGATGAGCATGTCCTTGAAGTGAGACATTCCTTGGGCCCTGTGGTTTTAAGGGGGAATGGAAAGGGCCCGTAGCAGATAATGAACTTTTCTTATGAGCTGGATTTCCAAAAAATGGCCCCCGAGGAGTGGAAAGTATCTGTAGGGTGTTTGGAACCTTCTGAACTTGGATTTTCACAGCGAAATTTATTCCTCTCTTGGAGAACTCAGCCCTTATCATAAGACAGACCCGGGTTCGCATCCTGAATTTGTCACATCTTACCCATGTAACATAGAGCAAGTTCTTAAACCTTAATTTTCTTTCCTAGGAAACAAGACTGTTAATAACTGCTTCAGACGTTTGCTGTTATGAGTACTGAATGATTATATTTGTATACTACTTGGATGAGTTTTCCATGTAGCTGGGTTTTCAGTCAGTGAGAGCTACTATTAAATTATTACAATTACCATTTTATCAGAACTGTGAACCAGTCACTAACACAGGCAGTGCTGTTTCTCAGTATTGAGGATCTTTAGGCTGTGCTCGCACCCCCTGGAATGGTCAGAGGGACATGCTCCATTTTCCACCGAGCCCTCATCGTAGATTCAGCGGTGCCTTTAGCCCCATGTGCCACACACAGGGCTACAGAGAGCTCCTGGTGCCTCTGTGTGCCACTGTCATTCCCAATATAAGGGAGGAGGGAGAAAAAGAGGCTAAAAGGCAGTTGGTGGCTCTTAGGGGCAGGCTGCAGTGTCCTCTCCTGGTAGACAAGATTGCAGGCTTGCTGGCGGATGCCCCTTCTTTGTGAGCTGATGCCGTAGCTCTCTTTTGGAGGGGTGAAGTAGGCAGATCCCACAGGAGACAGTAAAATGAATGTGTTCATATTTAATGACTCCTTTCAGTGGAAATTGGAGAAGCAGTAAAACAGGCCGAGGCCTCTCTGTATACCAAGGCTCCTTGGTCCACAACTTCATAAATAAGGGCTCTGGGTATGGTTACGGCTCATTGGGCTTTCTGGAAAAAAGAGTGAATACTGAAAGTGACCGATACGACAAGGCACGGCATTAGGATAACAAATCCGGGCCTTAATTTGGGATGGAGGGGCAACCGAGTCTTCAGAGGCCTTGGCTTCAAGGTCATAGGGTCTCTCCAACCGGCTCTGCCACCAACAAAAGTTACCCAGTCCTAGGCAGCGTGGTGGTCAGGGTAGGAATGTGGACTCAAGAGCCCTGCTAATCAACAGTGTGGACTGCCCACTGGCAGCATCAGCACCGTGAACTTGTGGGAAATGCAAATACTCAAGCTCCACCTAGCCAATCAGAATCATAGGGGGAGGAGCCCAGGGTTCTGTTCAGCTGGCCCTCTGGATGATGCTCCCTGAAGTTTAAAGCTCTCTGGAGCCACACACCGCCTGGTTTCAGTCGGCCTCCTGATTACCCATAAGGCCACTGCGGCACTACTGTGACTTTGGCCAGGTTATCTGATCATTTTATGCCTCAGTTTATTTATCTCAAAATTGGAGTGGGAGGATTAAGTAAATTAATAGATGTAGGGTTCTTAAAGCAGTGCTTGGAACAGTAAGGGCTCTGTAAGAGTTAGCTATTGTTGTTTTTTTTTTTTTTTTTTTTTTTTTTTTTAACAATTCTGTAGTAGATATCTAGAACCCAGGAAACTCCTGAATAGTGTTAAGATGTTTAAAAGAGTAGATGTATTTCCTGATCCATTAGAGTATGTCTGCATCATCTTAGCTGGGAACCTGGTTGTACTCATATCCACACTCACATGATGTAATATTGGGTAGATAAGACTAGGCAATAAGTAGGCTGGGAGAGATTTTATCCATGTCTGTGGCGTATTCCAGAGATCACGGCGTCCAGAAGACTACTCCTCTTGATCTCCTGAATTCTCCTGTCCCCTGTCTTCTCTCCCACCCTTCACAGGGCCCATGGGCCAGATGCTATGATCCTTGTGGACGGGCAGCCACGCCAGGCAAAAGGCGAGCTGGGTCTCTCCCAAATGCTCCACATCGCCAGCCAGATTGCCTCAGGCATGGTGTACCTGGCCTCCCAGCACTTTGTGCACCGGGACCTGGCCACCAGGAATTGCCTGGTTGGAGCCAATCTGCTGGTGAAGATCGGGGACTTCGGCATGTCCAGAGATGTCTACAGCACCGATTACTACAGGGTAAGGTGGCTTTTCCAGCTGCAGGACTCAGCAGCAGAACTAGCACCTCGCTCACATGTCTTTGTCATTGTCCATTAACCCTGTCACTTGAGAGAACACACATGCGCACCCGTGCCCAGACATACACGCAATGGTCATCCTTTGGCCACCTCTGCTTCTTGACATACCTGTGTATTATTCTCTCGATAGCTCACGCGTCCCTTCCCTTTGGACATTTAGCTCAAATATATTCTTCTGTTGCAATGACATATGCATCGTGTTCTTACTTGCATCGATACTCATTCTTCATGCAAACGGACCCATACGTATATGTGTATGCCCAAAATGCACACATATTCAAGCTCAACTTGGTACTACATTTTAACATCTTCCACCTCAGTCCCTGATCCAGCCTTACCCACAACACATTTTATTCTCTGAAATTATCTGGTGACTGGGTAGGCTCATTTTGCCTTCAAAGGCAGATCTTAATGAGAAGTCAGAACCCAAAGTAAAGTAGCAAAAATCGTTAATGAGGTGCTGAGCACGATCACCCCAATGATTTAGGAAAGAGGAAGCAAGAAAGCATGTTATTGTTGCCAACTTTTGAGAGAGATGCAGGTTGGCTTTAACAAAAGCTTTCTGATTGTGAGAGGAGATATCACGTTCAATTTTACTTCTATACGTTAATAGGTATCTTATTTTTCTCCCAGAATTATTTTCTCCCTTAGTCTTTGGAAATCCCCTTCTAATGGATTTGAGTGGTTTTGACAGTGTTTTTATTGCCAGGGAAAGGACAAGTGGGCATGTGTGTCATTGACCCTGAAAGAGGGAAACATGGGTGCAGCCTGAGATGCAGAGATCGGGTAATTTCTGAAAAATGATCGGAAGGCACATGCCTCATGAGATACGTAAATTTTACTTCAGGGACATCGAATGGGTGAAGAGTTTGGATAGGTGGCATCAGAGAAGGGTGGGACAAACTTCTGGAGGTCAAGAGGCATGGCAGCCATTGTGGGGAATGAATGTAGGGAATGAACGATCATATTATGAGTCAAAGAGCTCAGATATGATTGTCCTGTCAGCCTAGGCATGATGGACGAGGAGGTGGGGAGTTTGGGGGTGGCATATACAGATCAGTTCTATCTGGATGCTCCTGGTGGCTTTGCCTGAACAACATTGCCCAAGACATTAAAACTGATCACTCGAGACACTTCATTTTAGCCAGGACCTGAAGAAAAATGAAATATTTAAGAAATGCCCTTTGTGGTTAGAAGCGATTTGTTCATGGTACAACCAAAGGATGGCAGATGATATACCATCAGGAGAGAATATGAGGCAAAGAAGACCAAAGGGCTTCTGGGAAGGTAGTATATCTGAGCAAGCTGGGCCATTTCTTGAGCCACCTGCCCTATCCAACATCCCCAGATATGGAGAAGGGAGTATAATGTAGCAGTAGCCACAGATGGATGGCCAGGGCAGACCTGCCAGGAAATACCAAAGCGGAGACTTTCTTTAGCATCTAGACTAATTTTTTCACTCATTTCCAAGAGAGACATTGGTATCATTACTAAAGGCCATGAGCCATAGATTTCTTGAGTCTGGCTGGAGTTGGCACCATTTAATTGCTTTGCGTTCTGTGTAATGGGGTTTGCTGGCCTGTCTGGCTGAGCTCGGATTTATGTTGGTGTTGATAAAAGCAAGGGAAGGATCATCGTTTTTCTGTGTGAGGCAGATGTGTGATTATGCCAATCTGTTCTCAGCTGGCTTTACCATGGTCTTGGGAAATAATATCTGACCAGAATGTGTGCAGACTCAGCTTTCAAGCTCACTTCAAGGAGTGCACTTACTATTTCTTGATTCCGATTCAGGAGAGTAAAGAAAAAAAAAATCACCTCTATCAGTCACCAAATGACACGGCTTTCCTCTTGCTTTAACGACTAAGAACTGATGCTCTTTACTCCTGGGAGAGCAACAAGGGGCAGATCCATCTCCTTCCTGTGGGCGCCAGGGCTGATTGGAATTTGAGGAAGGGAGAGTGAGGTGGAAAACGTCCACTCTCCAGGTATCTGCAATTGCTTTTTTCATGAGTTCTAAGCCAGGCATAAGCTGAGGCCAGCTGGCTTGCAAATGTGTGTCTTTGGTCCCAAGGAGTATGAAATAAGAGAGTTATGGTAGTAAAAACAGCGCACCGCGGGAAAACTGCGCATCCCACTGATGGTGGGTAGATATTATACTCTCCGTATTCCGAGAGAAGCCTGTATCGTATCTTCATGTTCAGTTGCTCACGATGTCCTAACCTATGCACAGCTCCCCCGCCCTCACTTTCTGTAAAACAAAAGGCAGAAGTAGATTTCCCAGAGGTCACATCAGTAATGAACTTTGAAGTCTTGTTATCCATGTTGGAAGATACGAGGGTGACAAAGGTATTCTGCACTGGGACCTAATGTTACCTAATGCCACCATTAGCAGCCATGGGACCCCAACACACTTCCCCTAAACTCTCTTTAATTTTCTTATTTTAAAAATGAGGACAAACATAGTCTCTTGCAGAGTTATTTTGGTGTTAAGCAAGTTAATTTGTGTAAAGAGCCTGGAATACACTACTTAATGGATAAACCATAGCTTATATTATCTTCCTTAGTCCCCCTTCATACCCAAGGCAGGAGAGCCACAGGGATAATCTGGTTTCCAGATGTAATTCTCAGGTCAGACAGGAGGGCCTCCTGACCACTGGAAAATAAACTGGGATCATGCAGCTGCCCCAGAGGAATAAGGTCTTTAAGTTGACCACCTCTGGAAAATGTCCTTCCCAGGGTTTCAACTTTGATAGAAATACTGGATCATCAGTACTTGCCTGTTCCTCTGGTTAGTGTTTATATGGTCCTCATAATCTGAGAGTGAAGTCCATGTTCAGGTGATTTACAAAACATTTCTTTTTGTTTGGTATACCAGCTGAGGCTCTGGGGGGAATGCAGTGATTTATTATATAGCAAGAACACTGAAGGATTCTCTCAGCAAGCCGACATCCAGGACAAATTGGCACCTCTCTGCTACTGTAGGTTACGGAAATCTGTTGAGCCTAGGAGTTTGCTGGTTTCTTGTGCCTAATTCAGTTAAATGCAGATGATTCAAGCTTGTGTGTGTGTGTGTGTGTGTGTGTGTGTGTGTGTGTATGCAGGTGCACACTCACATATACAAGTGTTCGTCTGCCCAGCGCAGATTCCATGATATGTACACACGAACAAAGAGAGATGGAGACAAGTTCCTCCTTACATTCTTTTTAAAACTTTTTAATTTCTTAAAACAAGAAGCACCATCTGGCTCATGTATGAGTGATACGCAGACGGTTTACAAAGGTGAGCTGCCTGCTTTCCTATTACATATTTAGAAAGAGAAAACACACATGTCTGCACCAGAGTGCCAGGACCATTTGTTCTGTCTTCTTAAGACTCTGCCCAGTGACAGATACCTTTCCCTCCTGTGGATCACTCACTCTACACTTACGAGATGGCTTTTAAACTGGCTTGGACAGGGGTGGGGTTTTGGTGCCCATCATACCTTTCTCAGGACATCAGACAACAGTAAGGAGTCAGCGGTCGAATCTGGAATTAAAGAAAGTTTTGAGAGTCCTGAAGAGAAGGAATCTGGGATTCCAGAATAGAAATGTTTGCAGATATTTTTATTTTGGGGGGGAGGCGATATGCTGAAATATGGGAAAAACAGGATCCTAGGGCCCAGTGCTCTGATCCTCCTTACCCAGAGGACCAGGAGAGTGCCTTCCTGTTCACCTGGCTGTCCTTTGTGCCTAGTGCAGCGCCTAGCACTTAGAGATGCCCAATAAAAATAGGAATGAATGGATGAAGTCAGAATGGGGCTTCAGAGTTAGGCAAGAAGTAGATTAGGCCAGACCAAGAGTAGTCTGACTGGCAAACAGATGCCCATCTAGGGGAGCTTAGTCTTTGCAGATGTTGTAGGGAATCCATTATCTAAGCATGTAGAATAAGTACCTGGGGACAATGTCCAGAGGACACAGGTGAGTGGTGGTCAGAGTCAAGGATGACCCCAAGTCAGAGTTGAGTCTTGGTAGGGGGTGGAGCCAAGCGTCCAGGAGATATGAGGGGAAGTATGCCAAAATGTCGGCAGAGACACATAAGGGGGGACAGAAGTCATGTCTGGCATTTGATAACAAGGCACTGGGTTCTGAGTTGGCAATTCCAGATCAGGGTGCCTGGGAACCCCTGGGAGGATGTCAACAGTACCCATTTGGATGTGGGAATAATCTAGAATAAACTGATTTGACTGGTAGAATATTTGATTTCGTGGATGCCATGGTGCCCCCATGGCCAGTGATGAAAAGTATAGGCTCTTGGGCCCACATTACCTGGTTTGCATCCCAGCTCCTATAATTCCAGGCTGGATAACCTTGGGCAAGGTATTTAACCTTTCAGCATCCCCAACTGTAAAATGGGGCTACTAGTCCATATCATATGCATTTACTGTAAGGATTAAGACTTAATGAATATAAAGCTCTTGAGATAATAAATGTTAAATAAATATTAATTAGTGTTACTATTATTGGAGCTAAAATACAATGTCTTCCTAATCCCAAAATGGGCATTTTGAATAAGGCTTACCCAAGTGTATTAGTTAAGCTAGGCCACCTGCTATAGTGAATAGATGCAAATGTATATATATTGGTTCCCACACAAATAGAAGCCTATTTGTAGGTCATATACCAGTATGAGCAGGTGAACTTGTTGGAGAAGTAGCCCTCCTTTGTGCAGTTGTTCAGGCTGCTGGAGCTCTACCCTCTTCTTTGTGTGGTGTCCTTGGTCACCATAGGCATCCATCCCCATTCCACAGCTGGAAGGGGGAAATGGACATGAAAGAATGCATGTGGTTAATGGGTCTGATCTGGAAGAGGGGACTGTCTCTTACGGCAAGAACCCAATCACATGCATGGTCTCACTGTTTGTAAGGGAGGCTGAGAAATGGAGTGTAACTGTGTTCTCAGGTAG